TACTATATCACTAGATTTGGGAAGCAGGATGCCTACAGCTATGGGCCTTTTAGCACCCTCTGGGGAGTCTGGAAACGAGTTGTCTGAAGGATTTCAGAGAGCCTTTATCTCTATTTCTTTGTTTTTGTAGATCCATTCACTAGTTTATGTTTCAAATGTTCAACCTCAAAAACAAGAGAGACCTGAGGGTGGTATTTATTTTGGAAAATGGAAGTTTTGCAAAGCAAACGGGATGGATTTTAGATGAAAACTTAAAACATCTAAGGTAAGACTCATAGTATTGATTCATGAGCTCCAGCTCCTTAGCTGGAGGTTTTCATCCTCCCACTGTGTGAGGCCATGGCCAAGCCCAAAGGACTCAGTTTGCATCCTCTCTCCTATCAGAGCAGATCCATTCCCTTTACTACCAGTAATATCCTCTTTCTGCAGGGAGAAACATCATTTTAAGAGTTTCAAGAGCAGATTTCGATGTTTAAGCTGACAAAATCAGAAAAGTGTTGACTTTCAACCTCAGTATCCTCCCAACCCAAGCAGCTTTGTGAGCAGTATCCCAGAAAACAGCACAGAAACACCAAAGATGAAACAAAGATGGAAATCCTGCAAGAAATTCCTTGTCACATGCAGCTCCCACTGGGAACTGAACTGAGACCCAGCTGTGTAACCAGTGCTTTTCAAAGCACCAGCTCACAAAGAAACAAATCACACAGTCCAGCACCTCTCTCCGCGTTCCTTCGTTGTACTAACCCTAGGGAAAGAGGAACTTTTAGCAAAGCCTTACCCAACCCTCCCATCACTGCAGGATAACAATTCCCTTCGGAGTGACCGGAAGAGCAGGGATTTTCCTGCGCAGCAACGATGCCACCTACAGCCTGAGCGAGGCCACAACAACCCGCCGAGCTGCGGGGGGCAAACAGATTTTCTCAGGTTTTTGCCGCAAATCTGCTCTTCAAAATTCAAGTCTGACCGAGGAGGCGGCTTTAATAGGATATTCAGTAGGATTTATTTTATGCTTTACCCACGGAGGTGCTATTTATCTTCTATTTGTCCTCAGATTGCATGGTCCTTAAGACTCTCCAGCTCTGAACCCACTAAGAGCTAAACTGGGTGCTTGACAGATGTATCTATGGAAACCATATGTTAGAGGCAAGAAGCAGAAGAACGTTCCATTTCTGTTGTCACACACACAAAAGACACTACACAGAGTGTGTTTTACAGACTCCCAGAAGAAAGTTACTGGACCTTTTTATAAGCTGTCATCTCCACAATGAACACGGGCATCTGCACTCGTTATTTGTAGCAAGAAAAATCAACTCTCCCGGTGCAGCTTTCTCTTTTCTCTTTTTTTTTCCTCTTCTTTCTTCCCAAAAGCAAGCCAAATGCAAGCAGTGCAGTGGGCAAGGTCTTTCCAAGGGTGCCTGACGTAAGGGCTGGAAATGCAGCTCACAGGTCTGATAGCCCTGCCAGAATATTAATTCTGAACCACAGGGCTGCTTCACTGCAACATCAAAATTCATTGCCTGGTTACTGTGATCTGTATAACAGAGATAAGGGCACAGGGAACTCAAGGCGTTGCTTGAGGAAAAGCAACGGGATTAAAAATCAGGACAAAGTGAAAAAGCAAAACAAACTGATGAGCTGAGAAAAGGAGTGAGGCAAAAGGCAGGAGTCAGAGCTTGACTTCTCACTAAACAAAGTTGGTTTTTAGGAAAGAGTGATCTTAAACAAAGCCAACTGCAGAGGTCAGGGATGCTGTGGAAGCAGGAGGTTCCCAGGGATGGCACTGGAATACCAAGAGAGTACAGAAAGAAGCCCTCACACAAATGGAGAACTGTAACCCAGCCCCTTCACTGGGTGCATCCCACAGTCCAGGCAGCAGCTTTTCCACCCTCCACAGCAGAGCCTGGGCACGAGGGAAAGACACCTAAAAAAGGGAATTACGAAAAAAGCTTAAAAAAAAGTAAAATATGTTGACCTTTTTCTTTTACGAACTGAAATATTCTTTTCCTAAAATAATTGAACTCTTTTTTCCCCTCCAGTGTAAGTCAATGCACTTCTCCTTTGTTTAGTCAGTCAATAATTCATTCTTCAACAGTGGAAAACACGGCTCAATCCTGAGTAATTTTTGCTTGAGCAAACTGTTGCAGCAGAAAATTAAATTAAAAGATTGCACCTGTCCTGCTGCTGGAAAATGATGTCTGAGGCTGTAACAGTTATATGTACATACATTGGAATATTTATCAAGGTGGTATAAATTACAACGAGGAAGAACATCTACTGTAGATGGGAAAATAAAATGGATTTACAAATCAGTTACAAGCACATGGAAAAAGTCTGAAATCCTTCTTATGTATTTCCAAGACATAACAAGAGAATTATGGAGACCTTGCCTTAAATTTTAAATCATTTAACTAAGGCTTTGCTCGAGAGCAGGAGGAAAAGATGGTGTAAATAAGAGAATGATTTTGATTAAAAATATAAGTTTAAGCTGTAGGAAAAACCGCTTCAAGTCTGCAAACCAGATTTTCCAGTTTATAAAGAGGAATGAAAGTACAAGTTTTCAGTCATACATGGTGAATTCTGTACAAGGAGAAAGTTAAGCATCTGAAGGCACTTGTGTTTTGGCAAACAGAGCAAAGATACAGATGCCAGGAAAGATGAGGTTTTATTCCACGAGGAATAAAAACTGCTAAAGCCTCAGCTGAAAAGCTGCACACAATTTGATCGTGCATGTTGGGAAAAGATTAGAGACAGAGGACAAAAGGACCAAGTCCAAGGGAACAGTAAACTCACCTGATGAGAGAGAGCCCACAGGAGCCTTGGTGTGATTAACTCAGAAAAAAATGAGTGTTGCCATTGGAACAAGCAAATAAAAACTAGAGAGCTCTAAAGAGATTTCCAGCAGAAACTTAAAAAAAGGGATGTTTTCCTCCAAGAAAGGAGTGCTGACCTAAAAAAGCCTTTCAAGCACAACATGACGTCATTTTAGGCCAGAGTCCCTTTCACAAACTGACCGTATTCCACAGTATGTTTGGGGCCAATGTTTTACGATTATTTCTCCAAAGAATAAGAATTAAGACGAAGGTTTTGCTTTGAGGAGAATCAGAGTTTTTCGTAGAAGGCTTTGTGTTACTCCACAGGAGGCCCATCAGCAAAATCCAACATTTTTCAGGCAGCAGGCATCTCTCAAGTCTTGGTTTGAGTTTTAAGCACCCTAGGGGCACAGATGCATTTCTAGAAGTTTGTTTGTAACTCCACTGAATTTCTCGATGCCTTTTATGTGTTATACATAAATATCCTTAAACCTTCTCAAAACCAACCCTGGTTTGTAGGGCAGCCCTTCTGCAGCAATCTCAACTTGACTCACAGGACATAAACATTTAAGGAGCATTTTTAAAACAGACATATTCATATCTCTTTAAAATGAAAGCTGGATGAGGCAGTTCTGATCACTGCAGCTGCTTACAGAAAAGTCAGTAAGACAAAAACTGCCACTTTTGCCCAGACAGACCAAAATCCAGAAATCCCAGAACAGGAAACAATGTAGGCAGCAGTAACCAAAAGTTGGTAAAGAAAGTATCACATGCTGATAGCAGCACTGAAAATAGTAATTGAAATCAGAATTTGTTACAGGATCACAGAAATTCTGCACAACATCTGAGCAGGGTTTCACATCTTGAGAGTTTTGAGGAACTGGAGCCATTGCAATGAATTATTAACTAAATATTAATAACATGGATTCTTTTTCATCTCAAATCACCAGAGCTTGTAAAATAACTTCATAATGTATCAACTTCACTGGAGCTTAAACAGAAGCAGCTAATGATGGCTTGAAATTTCCAGCAATACCCTTGGAAGCCAGTTCTGAGGTGTCAAAGCAGGACTTTGAGTATAGACAGAAATAAACATGTTATGTGAATGTTTCTGAAGGAATAGATGCAATCTAAACTCCTGTGTTTCTGCATTAAATCCACATTTACCTGTCTCCTTCTCAGCTCGGCGAAGCTCCTCTTCCATTCCACTGCTCCCACTTGGAGAGGCACCCAAAGGGCAGCTTTTGCTCTTCCCAGCCTTTTGCCCTGTGCATGGAGATGCTGTCCTGTTCCCCAAACTGCTCTCTAAGTAGTTTCTAAGCTTTCCCAACTTCTGGAACGCTCAGATCATCCCATATCTATGTAAAAACACGACTTGCCACAATTGTCTTCCTATCCCATCTCTCCATGCCAACAGCTCTACTAAATCCTTCCATCTCCTTACTCCTTTTCTTTTTTCCTGGGCAATAATAAGCTGGGCCTCATCTTCAATGCTCGTTGAGTAATTTCTCTCCTCTCTCAGCTGTCTCTTCCCCAGTGCTGGATCCCTTGATTTGACAGCTTCTGCCCCACTCAGGCACTCTGCAGGCAGCATATCCAACCACTCTACTTACATTCCCTTCTACTCACTGTTTTGAGTGTTAATACTCTCTGCTATCAGTTCAGTAAGCTCACCCATCTGACACTTGTGTTCCTGGTCCACTCAAATTTCCAGTCTCTGCTCAGCTGAATGTGTCCTTTCATTCTCCTGTGTCCATCAGCACGCCAGTTCCTGGCATCATCTCACTGCAACTTTGAGGCTTAGACCCTTACAGCTGAGAACAAAAGAAGTTTGGCTCTTTAAATCAAAGAAATTACAAGTAATTCGTAACTAAGACAGTTTTTCTTCCAACATCACAACAGTTTTCATAACTATTCTCAGTTTAGTGAATCAAATGGGGTTATTCTTTTTGCTCTCCAGTAAAATCATCAGCCAGAAATTTTTGTGACCACGTGCTTCATTTAATTCTGTTGCTGTAAGATAGGAATAAGCACAGGTAGGCTGGGGGACAGGAGGGCAACTGGATTTGTTAGGTAACCAGAGCTGAAGCTCTGACAGATTTAAAAGCAAAAAAAACATGGGCAAAATCTTGCTTGTGCTTCAGTCAATAAAGGACCTTTTATTCCCTGCAGCTCTGAATTCTCAAAAGAGAAAGAAAACTACTGCAAGAAAACCACTGTGTCAAAAATACACAAATAATAATAGTTACTATTAAGAACAGCATGAGAACTGTCTTCTGTGTTTTGGTTTATATTTGATCTAACCATAGCCACATAATCTGTGCTGAAACATTTATCACATCTCTTCCACCAGGAGACTGGAAGGTTTTTTTCCCCCCCTTTCTCACCTTATTCTGCCAAGTCCTTTAAATCACAGCTCTAAGGGTTACAGCAGCAGCTGGCACCTGTAACAGAACTGGAATTTAATCCCTAAAGAGGCACATATATAAGCTTACATGAATCTTTAAACACAGAAAAGCTCAGAGTGAAGTTTACAGCAGCTGCTCCCCAGTGCAAAACAGCACCAACAAACCCAAAGAGGAATTTAAACGAAAAAAAAAAAAAGTAATACAATACTAGAACAGTTATTCATTGACAAAACATTTCATGAGAGAATAGAAGAAACGGGTAAAATAAAACAAAAATACAAAATACTTGGAAGTTTTTGTAAAATACTTGTTAAAACCTGTCGTTGAAATTAGCAGTGCAAATAAATAAAAAGCTTAAAATAAATTGGCTTTTCAGTCCCAGATTCTGTCCAAGCACATAGTTCTCACCACCAACCAGTTAAACTTTACATCATCTGCTGAGGAAAACTAGGATAACAAACCACTGTTAACCCCTACTCTCCAGGGCAAAAAGCCCCAAAAGAATGTTAAATTACTGCAAGGGAGCACCACATAGGTGAGGCAAGGGATGACAGGGAGAGCACTGACGTTTCACAGGCTGTTAAAGGATCCAACCTAATCTCAGCTGGAGTGGTAAACTCCATATTTCAAAACCTCATTTATGAGATTAGATCCCAGTGAACCATTCCAGACCACACTTTTCTGTCAGCCTCACACCTATGAGCACACTTTTACAGTTTTTCAGTTTGGCCCATGGAGAAAAAATTATTAGAATTTATATGGAATTCAACCCTGTAATTTACTGTGAAGTCTAAAAATAACAGAACACTGGAGAGACAGAAGAATTTGTGCATGTCTTCAGATAAGTGTCTGGTCAAAAGAATGTGATACTCAATCCAAAGTCTTCTGTGAAGTCCCAGCAGGCTCTGGATCTGATCCTTTTATCCCTCCAGAAAATGGCAACACCACACTTTCAACCCAACAGCCACACAGCCAAGCCTGTGAGTTAAACTCAGTGTTTACAGGCCACACCTCCAGCACCTGCACATCTTGTGCAGCCCTTTCCTCACCTCTCCATTTTTCAGCAGAATAGTGCAGTTTCCAGGACAGTACCCAAGAATTAAGCTGTAAAAACAGCATATTAATTATGCATGCATTGTTAATTACTAGTATGCTTCCTATTAATAAAGCATGAACATGCATGCAACGGTTAAATCTCAGTCTCTTCAGAGTCAGATTCTGGCTGTTGGCTCTCTCATAGCCCCTTTTCATTTTTTCTGAAACACAATTGCATCTCAGTCTGCATCTTCCCTGAACTCACATCTGAAGCTCCTCTGTCCTCACAGCTGCAGAGAGCGGATCTTACAATGTCAGACTCACATCAGATTTCCAGGTTGTCCAAATAAAGTGCACACTCTTTCCACAGTTCCTGCCTTCTGGAATTCGGCTGTGTATGGTGCAGACACAGAATAAAAAGAGCAAGCAATAGAATTTTAGGGCAAACTAGCTTAGGAAAAATAATTTTTATCCCCCACAGGAAATCATACAGCAATATTGTTTTCCAAAGTTTTACTCCTCATCCTTATAAAATAAATATTACGTTTTCTCCACTGGCATTATAATAGTCCCCAAAATATTTTCCGCCTTACTTCAGCATGCAAAGTAGAAAAGTGTTTTAAATGGCTTATTGACAGTTCCAGTCTCAACCCCCCCCATGACGCTACTGTCCATTTCCTAGCGCGGAATGCACAGTGAGCTCAGAGCTGAACAACACAAGGTGCCTCCTCAAATGCCTTTTGGAAGCTGGCTGGTCACAGAACTTCACCTCGATGTTGCCGTCGCTGAACGCCTCCCTCCTGCCTTCATCCGAGTCCACGGCGTCTCTCTGGGAGACACTCGGCTTCTGCCTCCTCAGAGTGATCCCCGAGTTGCCAAGCTGCCTGCCTGGGGATGCCTTGTCTTTGACCATGCAGAAGCAGATGGCAGACAGAAAGTTCTTCTTGAAGTTTTCGTTCATGAAAGCGTAAACAATGGGGTTGCAGATAGAGTTGAAGAACCCTATGATCTGGACGATGGCAAAGGTCATTTTGACCGTCACATCGTCATACTCCTTTTCAAAGTTACCTGGAAAGGAGGAAAGAAATCTGCTGTGAGTACGTAATGGCATAAATGCTTGCTACTTAGCCCATTTCTATGCAGTCTGCCATTAGAAGCTTTTGCTTAAAATCAACAAAAGACCTTGCTGGAAGCTCTCAATATTAGAGAAAAAAAAAAAGAAAAAAACCTTTTTCATCAACGAGGAAAAAATCAAGATCTATCACACAGTCCTGCTTTGTATGTATGTAATAACAGAACCAATTGGAAGAGGCAGTTTATGAGCCAGAAAACCTGCTCCATGGCCATGTAACATTAAGCCTCTGATTTGCTAAGTGCAGGCCTTGTTTGTTCCAGCTGTCCTTTTGGCTCCAAGATTCCTGTCCCATCAAATGTGTAAGGACTTGAGCACCACTTCCTGTCTTGTCACTGGTCACGCTCAGCTTCTTTCTCTGTGCTGACACAGATCAGGTAAAAATGCACCATCTTGGTCACATCTCTCACTTCTTAATCATTGAGATCACAGAGCCCTCAGAATTTCTTGAATTCAAATACTCAGAGAACCAGACTCTGGATAAATACTACAAAGGTTTCTATGGCATGTAAAACAAAGGCCTTGGAGAATCCAAAATAAATTCCTGAAATTAGTAACCAAAAGAGAGCATTTATGGAGTGTTATGAACAACCTTAACATGAAACAATCCAATTTTAATAACCAGAGCTTGTGCAGGTCTCATTCCGCCCAGGCATAAACATCATTTAGTTCAGCTGACTGGCTGAACTACTGATTTATCTGCTGCCATTTATTTGTGAAAGAAGACATAGAAACAGCTGCTGCCTTTGGCAAGTAAAGTACAACAACTACTGAAAACTTCCTCTTGCTCCTACACACAGTCTGCTGCACAGTTAGCCCAGCATCCATGGAGGACGTGGGAGATGAAGAGAGAATAGGGTAACTAGCAAAAAGCAAGGATAACAAGCATTGAGGGCATTTCCAAGACAATTTTCAGTCAAAAGCACAGAAAAAGTTCAACTGTATTCATTGGGTATTATCACTATGATGTCCAGAATTTATATTTCCAATATGCCCACGCCATTAAAACCAGGACAGGTGAAGGCACGGAAATTTCATCAGTTTAACTCAAAACAGTTAAATTAAATTTAAATTAAAACAGTACTTTAAGGAGGTTTATGTTCAGAATAACCTTCCAGCCAGGCACTTCTGACCTTTCAGCAAATGAGGGCAGCACAACAGACACAAAAAGGAAAAAGAATCTGCAAAGATATGCTCACCACCCTAATGGTCTTGGGTTTTTCTAAAGCCTTGTCAGGCCCAGTAAACCTCCTTTTCAGACCTGGATTATTTGCTGTACAAATTCAGTGACAACCTCCTTTCTATAAAGAGCTTACATTCCAAAAGAGCAGGTGGAGAGCCCTCCCACCCACCCTGCAAAAAAAAAGCTCAATGCAAGACAAAGTTTGTGTTTGTGGTTTTGTTTTCTTCTGTTTATTTTTTTTTTTAATTCACAGAGCAGGGAAGAAGAGGCATGACTGAAACAAGTATATCTCATATATACACTACTTTAAAGGTCCTTCCTAACCTAAATGATTTTATGATTCAGTAATAATAGGTTTTTTGAAACACACTAATTTTCCATTGTCATGGAAATTCCTTTGTCACTGCCTAGGTATCTCTATTCCAAGAGACAGATCCAGGATTTACAAGCACATGAGCCTTTGCCAGCAGAAGGTATTCCATTGCTGAACCCTACAGCAGCACTAGATTGTCCCAACCTGTATTCCCATCACAAAAAAAACCCCAAAAAAACCTAAAAAAGGCTTTCTTGTATGACACATGGCAGGTACTCACTGTATTCTATCATCATGTGAATCACGTGGAAGGGGGCCCAACAGACTGCAAAGAGAAACACCACTGTCACCATCATAACAATTGCCCGCTTCTTCTTCCTGAAATTGCACCAAGACATTCCACACTGAGTCACTCAGCATTGACTGGCAGTTTACACGTCCCTCCTCAGCTTACAGCTGGAACTGCTCTGCTCTGATGGCTGCAGATGCAAACAAAACCCTCGAAGAATGCTCAGAAGTGCACAATTCCCTCGGAAACAAAAAATGCAACATCACATAAATCTGGTACATCAACGAGCACCTTTTACTGCTCCCTTTTGGGAAAGCAGTGCACTTTGCAGCTGCAGCAAGATGTGACATGAGTATATCTTGCATTTTAGGTAAACACATGAAATAGCATTAATTGCTCAAAAAACAAGAGCAATCCCCTTCCTAGATCTGGGAGCACTGATTACACCTGCAGGAGCTGATCACTCAGAAAATTTGACAGAGTGAGTGCAGCTGCATTCAACCTTGGCTGGTAGGTAAAGTTGTAGAAAAAAGCAAGAAACACACTCCCTGCCTCAACTGTAATATCTTACAAACTCAGGGAATACATAATGTTTTCCTTATGTATATAAGTGATCCAAGTGGATTTATAGATTCCAAGATGGATCTCTCACTTGAGCTAGAGGAGCAGCACTTCACTGGTAGCAATTACAGGTTCTTGGGCCACTGTGTGAAACTAAGCTGAGGAGTGGCCTGCAAAGCGTGCCACCTTAACTCCTGTGAGACTGCACCCTCCTCCAGTTCTGATGTGCAAGTATTTGCCTCCTTAGGCACTTTGTTAGGCAAATATCCAAGGAATCATTTGTCTCTAATCTGCTTGTCAGGATTCTCCTTGAGGTCAATACCTAAGGCTCAATGAACAGAACTGCTGGGGGGTTGTAGCACATCAGGCAGCAGATCAATTTGCCAAATGACAGGAAAAAAACATGAGGCCATATTAAAGGCTGGGTTTGAAAAACTGGTCTGTGCTTGTAGACTTCCCAACAGAGAAGGAAACACTTTTTCGGGGGTTTTTTGCACTGGTTTTAAAGAATTTTCAGAGGGGGGGGAAAAAAATCTTTCTAGAAGTCAAAGTTGCAAGTGTATTTTGCTTACAAACCTTGATATTTTGGACATTTCACTCCCGTGAATGGTTTGCAGAACTGAAGCGTCTCCCACTCGTTTCTTAATCCAGAGCTCGTAGCCAATTTTCGTGTACAAACAAAGCATCAGCATCAGTGGAAGAAGGAAGAGTATAACCAGAATAAAGGTCGTGTATATCTTCTGATAGATCGGACTGGCCCATTCCTCCAAGCAACAAACATACACTTTTTCATACAGAAAGTCATATTTAACCTGTAACAAGTGCAAAGAAGATGAGTCACTGAAGTGTTTACGCCAAGTGGGAAAACCGAGCACGTTCAAATATTCCTTGCTCTTAACAGAACAACCACAATTCAAGAGACTTTTAGAAGTGGTGAAATTCTTCCAAACACTTTTTCACATCAAGTATTGGGTTGATTCAAGCTGGCAAAAAAAAGGTCAGGACGTGCTCTGATTTGCACTTCAAAGGAGACCTGGCCTACGCATTTTACAGGTAAAGATGGTACAGAAAGCTCAAATATTAGTTACTTACAACAAGGAAAATTGTTAACATTCAGACTCACAAGCAGCAGATTCTGCCGAGCCTATTTTTTTTAACCTCCAAAAATGTATGGTAACTCATCAGCCATAATGAGTGGCTAATTAATTTTAAACTAAGCACGGCTTTTCCAGATCTTGGGGAACACGTTGCAGTTCTGAAACAGTAATCTAAGTCCTACACTGCTGTGTGCCAGTGCACTTACAAACCAAGAAGCCACAGTGAAAGTCATAGATGTAATTAGAGCTCTTTGACATAATTAAGCAGGGTAGACATGACTAGTCCCTATTCTTAATCCTTCTTGCAGTGCATGCAAGTTCTAATCCTTAGCCTTTCCCATGCCAGCACACACACCAAAAGCTCTACCTCTCTTACTCCCCTCTAATTTCAACGGAGTTGATTCAATTCCACTGCTAAAGGTACGAAAAGATGCAGTGTAAAAGGTAAATTCCCATGTCACCTACCATACCTCGAGCCGCTGCACGTGCCACATGGGTGAGCCGACAACAAGAGCCAACAACCACACTATGCCTGTAAACAAATACAGCTTTGAATGCTTTGTACAACAAGCAGGGTAGGTTTTGGTATGAACAAAGCTTCATCTTTGAGAAGTCAGGTAAGGTAGACAATTTTTAACACAGAAAATCTGTAAACATCCAGAACAACATCTCTTTTGTTCTCAGCTTTCTATTTCTCAAACTACCTTAGACTATTGGCATTCAAGTGGAAAAGCCACTTAATTTGCTTGAGCAGCAACTGTGTAAGTTCTCTGTGTGGTAATAGGAGGGCCATTTAGCTGTGACATTGCTTTAGCAGTGCTTGTACATTTTGAAACTTTAGAAAAGGCTGCTAAAGGTTTATCAGTCTTTGTTAAGGACATTTTTGATCACAGGTGCTAAGTCTGTTGTGAGGGTTTGGGTTTGTTATTACTATATATGTAAGCACTATCCTTGAGCAATTTTATAAATGTCACAACTTATTAACTGGTCCTACGAGTGCCTTCTGTCATGCCCTGCACACTGAAGAATATTCCTCTACATACAAAATTACTGGAGATGCTTAAAATCTTACCAAGCATCGTGAAAGCTCTTTTATTGGTGTACTGCCACTTCATTTTGAGTGGATGCACAATCCCCTGGTGTCTTTCCACAGCAATGCAGGTCATTGTAAGGATCTCAGTGACAATGGCAGTGGACTGAACAAACGGTACCATCTTGCACGCGAAGGCCCCTGCAATGATCAGAAAGTCAAGTATGCAATTGGTGCACTTCAGGAAACAGCTGCTGATACTGAACTCCATGGCTGGAAAGAGCAGACTAAGATTCTCAGGTTTATTTTAACATCTAAACTGCTAAGTCACCTATTTAAGCTATTCATCAGTCATTCTTGGTTGGACACACTACATCTGCTAAAACCAAGAGTTCTAAGGACATATTCACTGGCTTTGTAGCAGCTGGACATTTACTCCCATTTGACTTTTGACCACACCTTCCATCATCTTTTTTCAAACATGCCGAGTTACAGGGATATTCATTATTTTTTTTATCTTGGCAGATGACTCTCCAGTTCTCTGAAGCTTTAAAAGTTTACCTTTTCTGCTGTTGCAAATACATTCCTTATGCTCTTTTAAATACCACTCTATTTGCACACTTTGGTACTTAATGCATCATCCTGCCAAGTGAGATACACAGAGGAGTCCTCTAAATCATCCTGCCAAGTGAGATATATACAGAAGTCCGCTAAGAGACATAATGTAAGAGGAAAAATTCACCCTCTTCATCATCTTCCTGTTCTCCCTCTTCCCTGATTAACACATTTCCTGCCTGCATTTTCAAAGTTGCACAGGTTCCCATTGTATTTCTGTATCTTCAGGTTTTGCTGCTGCTACAGCTTCCCAAAAGTACATATTCAATTCTTAACATATTAGTGACTGTCCATTCCTCACCCTCAAGTCCTTACCATCTCAGAAACTGGTATAAATTATCCTCTCAAGAATCTTATGTTAATGCCCTTCCCAATCTACTTGTCATGTACTCATTTTCTGACCCCAAGATAATTTTGTCTGTCCACGTTCTCACAGTTCCCTCACACTCTTACACTTCAGTATCAGCTGTTTATTCCCCCAATAGTTAAGGTTATTTTCCTTACCTGATCATTAGCTATACCTTACTCACATGTAACCCATAAACTCAAAAAAGCCAAAGGAATTACCTGATGCAATTTCAAGTCAAGCTTTAGGGTCCTAAAGACACCTTAAGCAGACATTAATTAAATGTTTACATTCTTATTTCACTAAAGAAAGGAGCTCAAGTTTGAGTGTTGGAGCTGTGGCAAATAAACCAAAAAAACAAACACAAAATAAAACAAAAAAATCCCAAACTTTCACTATATGCTATTTCAGTTTGAAAAAGGCAAGATTAAATAAAGTGAAGTCCACTTGAACTATAGTGCATTAAAAGGACTTCCCTGTGATGCACTGCAGTCCCAGCATTCCCAGGTATTCTTAGGAAGCAAAGAAGTATCCCCCGATTACTTTACTGAAGTAACAATACAAGACAGTGACTTTCACTGAAGTTACATCAGTCTGGTGAAGTTTCCAGCTTGAGCCCAACTATTTAAGGAACAAAGAGAACACTTGAGTTCAGAAGGCAGTAACTCCCCAAACTCCCAGATTTTCACTGCCTTTTACTGGTGTCCCCTCATTTTCTTCCCAGTACCTCCACTGTCAAAGAGCACAGACCACCACTATGGCTCTAGCTGAACTCCCAGGAGGAAAGGCTGCAAAAAACCCTATATATATATATATATATATACACACATATATATACACTTTTACATATATAAGTGTTAAAAAGGTAGCAAAAGGAAAAATCTACATATCACCTGCAGATTGACCCGATTGAGCTGCACAAGGAGTGACATTAGCACTTCCAAAAATGGGAAACAAAAGGATGGTTTTCATTTGACACATCTGGCTGAAATATAACTCTTCTTAGCTCTCAAAGCTTTCATAATTTTATTTTTAAATACGTTTATTTATAAATATACACCAGTCATTCCAAACTGCTTAGATAATTACTAAAGACTTCCTCCAAGTCTTTTAATACTAGTTTTCAAACTACAGACATTATCAGCTTTTGCACACGTGGAACAGGAAATTTATTATTAAATAAGGTAACTATAAGAATGGCGTGTCAAAGACACCTGTTAAAAACACATCAAGCTGGTTTTCACACATTTCACATGTTTCTGGTTTTAACACAGAGTAGCAGAAGATTTTAAAGGAATATGCTGGCTAACATCTTTTTTCTAACCAAGCTGGTAAAAATGTAGCTGTTGAGAACATTGCTTGGAGATGATATGGTTGAACAGACAGTATTATTCAAGTCTTCTTTCCATGCACTAACATGACTGCTACATATTGCAGTTATTTGTATCAGGTACTGTGCCCTTGTCATGATACACTCATCTACAATAAATCAACTTTGGATTAAGAATAAAATGAAGTTCTGTATCTCCCAACCAATCTGAAAACAAAAATGGGTTTGCTTTCCTATCTGCCTGATAAAGGCACTTGAACTACTTTGCTATTTATTTCTTTTTAAGCAACTCATTCTTCAAAACATAATTTCAGATCCTACCTAAAGAGGACAATTTGTGTTAGAATGACATACAAACATAAAGAACAAAAATACACTTCAGTGAGTTTCAGTCAGGATTATTTTAAGTTTTCCCATTGTCTAGTTTTAGCACAAAAGGCTAAAGAGGTACTGAGATCATCTCAAAATGCTTAATGCACTAGAACTGTGTTCATTTCTGCACTGGAGGCAGTATAGAAAAGTGTTGACTTTTCTGAATAAATAATAATAATAATACTTCAACTAATACCTTATGATGTATCAAAATGTTTAAGTTTCTACCAGGTAAGCAAACACTTTCAATAGACTGTCAGTCAAGACAGCACTGCAGCATTTAATACTGATCATTTCCAACTGGGAAAGGAAATGATTTGCAGCAGAACACTGGGAAAGGAAATAACTAATTGCTTTGCTCCTTCGAGAATCTGAGAGGTTCCCAAAAGTATTCCTCATGGCACTGCTAAAACTTGCATAGATTATTCAGGCAATGATTAGTTTTCCCCAATGATAACACATTCAGAAGACTGAAACATTCATATAAATGTTACTTCCTTAAACGATGCTTCCAGCCTTCATTATAGGATGTTGTGCCTCTAACTGTGATTTATTCATTTCAACACCCCTTTAAAAGATCGGTTTTTCTTTTATTAGGGTAACACGGGCAAGAGCCTGAAACCATTCTCTGATAAAAGTAGTGCAGATAACAAGTAGAACAAGTGTGGGTTTTCTGACAGAGTTAAAGATCCAGATCTCGAGACAGACTCACTCACAGGGAGCAAAGCAGGACATGGCAAACACATCCCTGATTCACTTGATGCAAGGTAGAGAATGCCATGTATTTTTACCAAGAAACAGGACCTAATAACCACCCCATATAAAACACTAATCAATCTATCTGCATCCTAAAACTTGCTCTATTTCTTCACCTGATTAATGCAACTGTAAATATTTCACAGCAGTGTGTTTCATATTTATGCTAATTACTGATCTGCACAACCTGCAGGAAGAAATTCCCCATGTTCAGTATGCAAGTTTCCTTTTCTCAGCATTTTTTTGCTTTTAACCAAACACCCTGCCAGTATATATTGTATATATAAAAAACCTAAGCCTGCTATTTCCTTTACTGAGGCATTCACAGTCACTGTATAACCCTTTCTCAAACCACCTTCATACAGAATTTTACTCCTGCCTCTGCTCATAACAAGTACCCCATAACAAACACATGATATCAGGACATGGAGAAAGAAGGACAAGGTAAGTTTCACCAACACAGACAGAACTACAGAAATCACCCTGCTCTGAACAGAAGCAGATCAATCACAAGGCACAACCTCTTGCAGAGCAGAGGGCAAATGAGGGGTGTTGTTGTATCAAAGAACACTCCAGAAAACAGAGTGAAGTTTCTAATGTGCCACTGAAGAATACTGAGGTATCCCAGAACATCAGATACAAAAGACCCAATGATTTCCATTGCTAAGACGCAGCTTTTACCCCTCAGAAAGGAATGTTTACGTGTTACAACACAGGGAAGCTGTAAGCAAGGTAACACACTGCTTGACACAAGACATTTGGCACAGAGCAGAAAGCTCCTTAAAGACTGCACTGGGTAAAAGATGCCACTTATTTTCCAATCAAGCCTTTAGAGAAGAGGGAACTGCCATCTCAAGGAGCACCAGATATGACAGATACCTACAGAATATCCACCCCTCCGAGTGGCAGCCGGAAGCCAGACAAGATACACGAGGGCATCTCAATTGCTGTTTGTTCAGGAGTGCCTCAGATGACTCACTGCTCCCCAGGAGACAGGCAAAGTCACCCTCTGACACCTGTCTTGAGAATACATATTCTACTTGATAAAACACAAAATCCACAAGAAAGATGGAGCGTAACACAAACTGTACTATAACTTCAAGTTCTGCCCTTGTCTTCTGCCAGGGCTGTGCTATTACACAACACTCAAGTGACCCTCCAGTCTCCCCAGGCAGTTCTGTAAAGACAGCAATACTGCTCAGATAACTAAGCAGCGTCAGAAAATAAAGCAACTCCCATCATACTTGACCCAGAGACAAAAACCCAAATTCATCTTTGACAGGGCTGCCACCAGTGTGACGAGACCTCTACTGCTGCCTCCCACCCACGATCATATAAAGGTAAATCCTCAACTGCTTCAATTTGCACCAAGACACACTATTGCTGAAAGCATCCTTTTGCTCTCACTCAAGTTCCCATTTTACCTCTCTTACCCATAAATACGATCCCGGTGATCATTTATGCCAAAGCCACAATTTTCATTTTATTCCACACTACAGAGAGATTAGCTGGCAGGATTTTCATTTAAAGTTCCCCTAGAAATTACAGCCCTTTTAGCTGCCAAGTTTGGAAATTAAATCGTGTACTGCCACTATTACAGTCTCGCACAGCTACAGAGATTATTAAGAGATCAGAGAATCAAAACTAAGGCCAATTCACCTGATTTTAGTCAATATGGTGCTGCTTCCAGTTTGCTGCCTATATAGAGCTAAAGGGCCTGTGTTTTAATGCTGCACAATAACAAGGCACAGTGAGGCACACACTCAGTTTTTTAACTGTAGGTGAAGTTATGGTGCAAATAAATCAAGACATAAAGTGACTGACTGCTCAGAATCTCAAATATGTTTCTAGCATCAAGTGTCTCAGGATGCACCACCTTTTTCAGCAGGGATATATTACAAGTCAAATCCCCTTATTTTATAACTGAGTTGGAGCTTGCACTACTCAGCAGTGCTGCATTAAAGTGGATGAGAATCCACCAGTAAAGCTAGCAAGGAAAAGACTCCTCCAGGACTGGCAGGCTCTGATTTGCAGTGTAACTCTAATCACCAGTCACGCTTCACAGTGTTAGACTTGGAATTAGACACCCGTGGGATACCATCAGTTCACGTCTCATTTTTACATCACACCCCCTGCCCCCAACAGCGAAAGATTAACACCCGTCAGTGATTTTACTTATTTATGTCCTCCCAATACTGCATTAGTTTACCAGGACCATAAAGGCTGCTCTCAGTGTCAAAGGGACCTATGGATTCAATTGGACTGAAGATGCTCTAGCACAGCAAAGAGGGAAGGCAAAAGTACAGTAGAGCCCACAGAACAATGGATTTTAACCTATTTGTTGCAACTATGCTACACACCTTTTACATTTACTACTACTAGTTTTGTCAAGCATCCTTAGGAAGAGAAGGGGAATGTAAACCCATCTATTTTCTCAGTACTGTTCTACCTGCCTGTGCTCTAACCTGCTGTTAATTCACCCCACATGGAGGCTTTATCCCACCTAGTTTCAGTTGATTCTGGTCAGATGGGTGGTCAAGCTGACAGACCTGAGCCTTCCTTAAGAGAGAGAAGAATCACACTTCTTATCTTTAGGGAAAGCTACTTAATTCAGCCTCCTTCTCCCCTTTATGTGAGATCAGTGGATGTCACCAGTGATTACTGTTGTGTTCCTCTGGGAGGAAGGAGAACTGGAACCACAATAGTCAAAAGTAAGGCACAGCAGTATAGCTGTCAGTTTATCCCACGATTTTTATTTACACATGCTAATTTCTTTTGGGGCTCAACATCTGTACTGTCTTAAAACAAAGTTTACCTCCTCCAAAGAAGTTCATAAGAAAACAGAACAGTTATCCTTACTAGCAGTAGCCCCAGGAGTGTTGTATTCATCGTTTCTCCCAGAAAGATCCTGTTTTTCAGACAACAACAAAACCCATTTCTCACTGGGATAGGTATCAGTGTGCTTTTACAGGCTCCTCTGACCTGTCAATTCCCAATTCTAGTCTGTGAGAAATACTGGAAGTAAATCTCCATGTTCTGAAGGTAACCTTCACAGTCTCCCAACAACAAGAGCACAGGAAGCCTTGGAAATTGAACCGTAAATGTATCACTTTATCAACATCTTTTCTGTTCATGTTAAAAGACTCTGAAAATTATTTCAGTTTGTGGTTGTGCATGATGTTGTCAGCTACTTGCTGCAAAACCATCCCTTTTATTTTTCCAGTTACAATTGTCCAACGTTCTTTTAAGAACAAGAAAAGGAAGATAAACACAGTGTGTCCTACTGCACTGTTCTTTATTACTTTGGAAATAGGATGCAGAGAAGAGGAAAAAAAAACACCAAACACCCTTTCTGGGCATCAGGGAAGCCTTGCCCAAAGGTCCTTCACATCAACAGGAATACAATACAGTTCTCAAAAAATAAGAACGAAAAAAAAGAAATAAAAGTAATTATTTCAACACAAGTTCTGCATGTTCTGTCATTTTCCTCTTTCTCCAAGGATATTCTTTTTCCTCAGAAAAGGCTATGGAGGTCTGTCTCCGAGCTGAGGAACTTAAGCTTAATAAAGACTGATATTTCACTTGCCAGGCAGATTTCATTACTTAGAAAAGTAAAAAAGAGACAGTATAGCAAGACTTCCTCGTCAGCACCACAAAACGAACCGTTTGCCAAACACACACCGCAACTTTTAAGGAATACAAGAAGGAAAGCGCGCTAAGTTTACCATACCGGGAGGGAGGGAAGGAGAAGGGATCCCTCACAGACGGCGGGAATCAGACGGGATCCCTCACAGACGGCGGGAAGGAGAAGGGATCCCTCACAGACGGCGGGAAGGAGAAGGGGCTCCCTCACAGACGGCGGGAAGGAGAAGGGGTCCCTCACAGACCGCGGGAAGGAGAAGGGGTCCCTCACAGACGGCGGGAACCGTAGCCTCGGCGGCGCCGCTGCCACAAGCGCTGCCCCCTCATGGCCCGCCACCCCCCTGCATCCCGGCCCGGCCCGGGACCGCCCGCCCCGACCCCGGCACTCACCGCCGAGCCAGTTGGAGGAGATGTTCTGCAGCATGGTGAAGGGGACGCAGAAGAAGGCGATGAGGAGGTCGCTGAGCGCCAGGGAGCAAATGAAGATGTTAGTGACGGTCCTCATAGCTTTGCTGCGGGTCACCACATAGAGCACCAAGCAGTTGCCGAAGAGCGCCAGAGCGAAGATGAGCACGCAGATGAGGACGAAGGCCACCTTGGTGCGCCCCGGCAGCTCTGGGATGTACACTAGAGGCTGCAGGCCATAGAGGGCGATGAACTGCTCCCGCGTCACGTTGTTGTCCCGCAGGAGCTGCGCGAACTGCTCCGGGGTGATGTTCAGGGACCGCATCGCGCCCGCTCGGGGACCGACGCCCTCCTCAGCCGCCTCAGCGCCGCCGCCCGCGCCTCGCCATCGCCGGACCGCCGCTCTCCGGCGCTCAGCCGGCCCGGACGCGGCGGTGTGCAGCGGAGGTAGGGGTGCGCAGAGCCAGGACCAGCCCGCGGGCGATGGGGAGGCGGCGGCACCGCCGCGGCCACAAACTTCGAGTGGCGCCGCCCGCGACCGCGGCCACGGCCAGGGCGGACGGGCGCCGGGGGGGGGGACGGAAGCCAATCAGCGCCGAGCGCGCGCCCCGCCGCCGGGCAGCGGGAAGGGCGCGAGGCGGCTTCGCGCGCGACGGAGCGCGAGGGAGCGCGCGGGGCCACCCTCACAGGGCCGGGACCCCCTCACAGCGCAAACCCCTCACAGGGCTGGGACCCCCTCACAGCGCAAACCCCTCACAGGGCTGGGACCCCCTCACAGGGCTGGGACCCCCTCACAGGGCTGGGACCCCCTCACAGCGCAAACCCCTCACTGGGCTGGGACCCCCTCACAGCGCAAACCCCTCACTGGGCTGGGGCCCCCTCACAGGGCTGGGGCCCCCTCACAGGGCTGGGGCCCCCTCACAGGGCCGGGACCCCCTCACAGCGCAAACCCCTCACAGGGCCGGGACCCCCTCACAGGGCTGGGACCCCCTCACAGCGCAAACCCCTCACTGGGCTGGGGCCCCCTCACAGGGCTGGGACCCCCTCACAGGGCTGGGACCCCCTCACAGCGCAAACCCCTCACAGGGCCGGGACCCCCTCACAGCGCAAACCCCTCACAGGGCTGGGACCCTCACAGCGCAAACCCCTCACAGGGCTGGGGCCCCCTCACAGGGCTGGGACCCCCTCACAGGGCTGGGACCCCCTCACAGCGCAAACCCCTCACAGGGCTGGGGCCCCCTCACAGGGCTGGGACCCCCTCACAGGGCTGGGACCCCCTCACAGCGCAAACCCCTCACAGGGCTGGGGCCCCCTCACAGGGCCGGGACCCCCTCACAGCGCAAACCCCTCACAGGGCCGGGACCCCCTCACAGCGCAAACCCCTCACAGGGCCGGGACCCCCTCACAGCGCAAACCCCTCACAGGGCCGGGACCCCCTCACAGGGCTGGGACCCCCTCACAGCGCAAACCCCTCACTGGGCTGGGACCCCCTCACTGGGCTGAGACCCCCTCAGAGCTGCCCCCTGGCGCCGCTCCCCTCTGACAGCTGTTCCCTCACAGGTGTCTCCCCATCGCAGGCTCGAAACGCCCGAGGCGGGAGCTGAAACTCCCGAACCAACCTCTCATCTCACGTTTCGATCAGGCTTGAGAGGGAAATGAAGGAGGTTGTTCCGTAAGGTACACGGCCCCCTGCGTGAGGGGGTTATGTCGCGCCGCGGCTGGTCCGTGCCCAGCCCGGCAGAGGCAGCGCAGGGATTTTACCTGCCCTTCCAGCTCCCTTTGTGCCAAAGCTGCTGCAGGCCCTCACATAACGATGCTAAGCTCAAATAAAAAAGTAATTTTCCAGACTTTGGCTGCTGAGCCCACTGAGATCCCAGGAGAGTCCCGAAGATCCCTTTGCCAGAGGAGGCGTGACAGAACCCCATCCCACACAACCTGTCTAGGCTACTCAGGTAAGTTCATGAAGGCTACTGAGATGCACTCAGCAAACTGGCTGAACAGGAGTCAACATAATGCCACCACAGCTTAAATGTGGATAATAATGACAGTTAAGGTCTAACAGAGGGATCAAGTTGAAAATGTGCATTGATTTGTCGTCCAACTTCATTAAATTACCCACTACAGCTTTCTCACTAAAGCAGGTATATTCCCTTTGTACTGCATGATAATAATAACAACTGATCTGTCACATAATGAATTATCAAAAAGAATCCAGAGAAGGCAATAATAACATGGTAAACTGTTCTGACAACACCTACCGCCTCCCACAGACGTACATGTTCAATAAGGAAACAACATCACCAGGGAAAATGCTGCAAAATTAGATTTTGTGCAGAAGATGCTCTCTGCCCTAGGTATATCTTGACCTGTACCAAGGAAATATAGAAAAGAATGAAGAAAAGTCTAGAGAAAGCTGTCTATTTATAAGTGATTTACAAGGTTTCAAGCTTGCCAAGTAAAACTGGGGAGGGAAGAGTTCACCACCAAGTCGTTCTCAGCAAAATGAATGTGCCCAACAAGACCAAAGCTATTTTGTATCATCTTTGAAAAAAATATTTCTGTTAAGTGGAAATCAATGGAGGGAAATTCCAGTGCCTGCACTGGTATGTGTGTATTCCAACCTGCACAGGTCAGTCCTCCAAATGCTGACAATCCTCTATTAAGGTGTAGCTCCATAGCAAAGATTCTCCTGATTAGCCCATGGTGAAAGGGCCCTGTCACCTTTCTTTGGTGCAGTACTGCCATGTGTTTTCCACTCGAGACCAGTTCCTGACATTCAGACAGCTCCTTTCACATTCTCTTAGGTCTGCCCTGTTGCTAGAAAAGCTTGATCTTTTAGTCCTATAATGATCCAGCTGAGCTTATGTTCCATATCACAGACAGACTTGTTTTGAGTCCAATTTCCCCAGCACCTTCCCTTGGACTATGATTAACTACAGCAGGTACAGCCTGAAGTCACCTTCATATGCTGTGTTCACACATCCTTTCCTACACCTCTTTTTCTTTTCCTTTTCCCTCTTCCCCCAAAACCTCATTTAGCAGCTCTTCTATTAACAAACAAGCCAGATGCATTTCAGCAGATTTAATTCCTATTATAAATAAAGGACCAAACCTGGAAGCCAGCCTGTCATCCAGGACTGCAGTGTCGTGTTATTCATTGCAGAAAGCATCCAAGTGTTTCAGGAACAAATAAATGGGAATAAGCTCTCACCTAAATACTGCAAATAGTCCGGGTTTATGGATAACATGGACATTTGTTTTTTCATATATCCTTATTTTATTACTATGGCTGATCATTACAAGTAATCAAACAGCATTAAAAAGGAACAACATTTGAACAGTTAATCTACAGAATATAAACAAATCTTGAGGCTGTAGGCTATGGAAGTGGGCCATTACATCTGCTGCAGATTTAGCTGGGCTTTTGTGTGCAAAAACGAGATTTTCTCGTTAATATTTGCCCACATGGAGAAAATAAAGGTAGGATTTACAAAAACTTCCATTTCCTAGGAGCATTATCCATCCTCTGAGCTGAAACAATAAGAGCATGGGCATCATAGAAGTTATAGGGCAAATCACTAGTAACTGTATTTCCCAGCTCCTTGACCTGAATGAAATGGTATTTGCAGTGAAAAAGGGTTGAGCTACAAAAGGTGACCTCATCTAAAACCTGCTGAAATTACTGAAATGACTGCTCTGCTTCCCTGGGCTACAAATAATTGGTAGGTAGTGAAAAGTGTTGTTTACTTTTCAGAGTAGCAACTTGTGTTCTGTCTTATCCTGCACTCCAGGGCTGCTCCAGCTCCTGCTGCTCCCTGCAGCCCACAAAGCAAAGCCACGTGGGGCTGCTGTGACTCTCCCCACTCTCATTCAGCCCATCAGTAAAATAATCTGCCTGTACATACCTTTATAGACAATAATAAACTACGAGGCATTTTTCTGTTCCTTTGATTATCATTTGTTTAACTGATGCATTCACAAAGATAAAGCAGGGTTTGAAAAAAACCCAAAGTATTCTAACAAGGAATTGACTGTACAGGGACAATGCGTTTTTCATTATTCTTAAATGAAAAAAAAAATTAAACCCCTCCTACTAATTAAGTGGCTAGAAATATTTTACTTCTGTATTAGAATCCCAATGAAAAACCTTCACAACTTGAACACAGATGAAATCTTGGCTTTGCCAGTAAGTCTACTTTGGCTTCATAAAAATTGTATATTCCTTGGTCACAAACCTACAGATTGATAAACATGAAAAGGGGTGAAATACTTGTTGTACCAGATTGCACTCTGTCAAAACCACTCGTTTCTTCATGCCACCACATGCCATTTTTTTCCTTTTTTTTTTTTTTTTGCCTAGATGATTCATTTGTATGACACTTTCTTCTCATTCAAAAGGGACAGTGAGTTTTCTGCAGACTGAAAAATACTGTTAGTCAGTTTGAAACCTTTTCTCTCACAAAGAGGAGAGAAGTTGTAATTGCACCTTTTCCCTTCTAGGAGCAAAAAGATCCATCTGTGGCAGCTGTAAACAAAAAAAAAGGGCAACAACAAGGAGTATGCACACACAGGTTTGTCAACTGAGCATGATGTTTGTAAAAACTGTGAACAGCACATATTTTTGGAACACTGAGAAAGCACACGCTTATTCTGTAATCCTAAACCAGAAATTATAAACCAAACTCTTTTTCCTTCCAAATCTCTACCAATATTGAGTAGTCCAAGCAAAAGGAATAGACGACAAAACTACTGACAAAAGAATCCCTTTCCTCCCCTCTTTCACTCCCTTGACATTTAAAAATACTTAGGAGAGGGCAGTGTTACCAGCTTTTAAACAGCCACTGCAGCTAATGATTAGTAAACCTTCCCAGCCTTGGATCCTCTGCTAGGTATGTTGGGGATGAACTCACCTCTAATCCAGATCAGTGCCACAGCTTTTAGGATCATTCTCCAAAGGACTGGAACAGCTTACCATCATCATTAGGTAATTTTAGGTTAAGTCAGAAATAAAATGGCTGTTATAATTGCCAAGGCAGCTTCTGAAACATAAATTTGGAGAGAGCATTTACTGTTTGTTGATAACATATGTTTGGAGAGAGCACTGGAGATAAATCTCCAACTTTAGATTTACATACTTTTATACATTCAGACAAACTAACCATAAATTATCTTGGGGAAGAGAAAATGACGCTAATTGGACCAGAATCTTTGGTAACGAAGGATGCAACTTGGTCTTATCAGTGTATCCCAATAATTATGAAGAAAAGCATGGATATCTAAAACAGAGTTGCACACACTTGCAAAGTATGTTGGAGTGGCTAAGCAAAAAATAAACTGTGTTAACCTAGTGCATGGGCCAACTCCAAAATGTTTTGGTTTACTGTGTGACTCTGGTGATAAACACTGCTGGCTGATCATCTTTATTCTTGGGAAGCCTCATGTCTCTACACCTCCAGATTTAGTGATCCCAGCCCCAC